TATTATTGTCGAGACAACTTTATCGTTTTTTAATATAATTTGATATAATTATATTCCGAAACAAATATCATTTCTTATCGTTTTCTTTTATTCTTTATTGATTTTATTGAAAGCAAATTTATCATTAATCATCATAATATTATAAAATTAATAAAAAGAAGAACATGAAACCACAATACAGGTTGTTTTTTGTGATATTTAATTAAGTTTATAAATTATTTGGATATTTCGGCCATAATCTGGCCATCTTCAGTAAATTTATAAATATCAATAAAAACACAGAATTTATATAAATTTAACATTAAAATTCAACGATCATAAATATAATTATATATAAATCATTGCTTTCTTTCTTCTTACATCATAAAACGTGGTTGCTGAACCAATTATCATATTGCAAATTATGTAGGACGAGAATTACCAGATTCTAATTTTAAAATAATTATAGTATCGTTAGTATCTTCTAGTCAATTTAATAAGGATTAACAATTTGTTACCTGTTTTACAGCAAATTAATGAATCTTAAGCAATTCTTTCACGCAGATGAAAACTCGTCATGATAGGACAGTAGATTTTGGCGACGAAAATGGTATTAATTTTTTAAAACTAATAAAACAAGAAAGAAAAATTATTTTCGACATATATAAAAAAACCATTTAATTCAGGGAGATATCTTAGTTATTATTCTAATCATTCAATAATGCACAAAAGGTGTGTAATCGTCGAACAATTAGATAGAATACTATTTTTATCCCATTCAAAATTTCATGAAAAAAATATTTCAAATTTAGTTCACATTTTGTTAATTAATGATTATTAGCTTGAATTCATTTTTTCAATGATTAAAAATAGAATAAAAACTTTAGAAAATAGAATCAATTTAATTTTAAAAATAATAATTGCAACAAGGACAACAACTCTAAATCTAATTTAATAAAGAAATTTTTTGTAATACCATATAAGTAATTTAAGTAAAGTTTCGGAAAAATTTAATAAATTATCACACAGTCATGATTTTAATATTGCGTACAAACCGATCAATAATTAATAGATTTATAAAAACAAGAAAAGATCGTTATAAAGAGGACCATTGTGTAGTGTGATTTATAAAATAAATTATTTGGATTGTGAATCTTCTTACGTTGCCCAAACAAAAAGAAAATTAAAAACACGAATAAAAGAACATAAGAAGGTCCACTACCGATGTCAATAGTCTCACGCCACCAAGTTAATGAGAAGTATTAAAAGCAATTGGATTGGGATAATGTTAGAATTTTAGAGCATTATTCAAAAGAAGAATTTCTGAGATGATATATATAAAAAGCCAAATAAATAGTATTAATAGGCAAAATGACACTGAAGGTTTGCCTGATATTTATTTTCTAAAGAAAGATCTCTTTCACACTTAAAAGTAATTTTAGAATAATCTAAAATTTGACATATATATAAATAGCGGACACACATGAACGTATCGACAAATAATAATATACAATGTCACAACGAGTTTCTGCGTGAAGGAATTGCTTAAGACTCATCAATTTGCTATAAAACAGATAATGAATTGTTAATCCTTATTAAATTGACTAGAAGATATTAACGATACTATAATTATTTTAAAATTAGAAAATTAGAATCTGACAATTCTCGTTCTACATAATTTGCAATATGATAAATAGCTCAGCGACTACGTTTTATGATGTACTTGTACAAGAGGAAAGAAAACATTGATTTATATATAATTATATTTATGATCATTGAATTTTAATAAATTTATGTAAATTGAATTATGTGAATTTGTGAATTTTGTTAAATTTATATAAATTCTGCGTTTTTATTGATATTTGTAAATTTACTGAAGATAGCCAAATTGTGGCCGAAACGTCTAAATAATTTATAAACTTAATTACATATTAAATATATCACAAAGAACAATTTGCTATGGTTTCATACTCTTCTTTTTGTTAATTTTATGATTAAAAAAAAAACGTTTATTATTATTATATATTAGAATATTAT